TACGAAAGGAGCTATCTCCGGAGCAACTAAAGTGGACAAATGACCGTGTAGCAACCAATCTGCTACAAGTTGATGATATAACACTGACAAGTATAAGTATAATAATACATGTCTTTTACGATCTGACAACGCTGAAGACCGCGATTGACCATCGATGATGATTTTGAGAGGAGCGGGAAGGGGAAGAGTAATAATGACAAATAATGAAAAATAATGGGATATAGAGGACAAATATACAGGGAATCTCTCAGACAAGATGTACCATTCACAGTTAAAGTCGCTGAATAACTGGTCGCTCCGGCTTTATTCGACGCCGAGCACGTGTATTCTCCTGCGTGTCTCGCAGCCACGGACTCGATGCTGAGGATGCTATTCTTCCGAGTTGTCGCCAAGATATTAATGTCCGAACGATCTGGCCGAATCGGCTCCCCGTTCAAAGCCCACGTAATCTCGATCGGTAAATCGCCCTTGAGAATGGCGCACACCACGGAAATGGAATCACCCCAGTTGGCTGGTTCCTCGGCGATATCGAACGGTGCAATTTGCGGTGCAACTGCAACGGGTATTACGTGTTTTTTCCCCTCTTTTTTTTCTATATAAATTATCAATTCTCTTGACAATTACTTGAAATGGCAACGTTAGAAAAAGATTTGAAGACGAAGAAGAAATGAATGGAGCTGTCCGAATAGCTATCGGTCTTTTTCCATTAAACGTCCGAATACACACGCGAATTTCGATCGGGAAGAAAAGGGCGAGGAGAGTAGGAGGGAAAAACGAATCCAAGATCAACATTCTTTTCGAACGATTGTCGTAGATACCGTTGACTGTCAACTCCGCGGAATAAGTGATTGCGCCGGCAGCATTGGAGGCAACGCAAGTGTAAGTGCCGGCATGACTAGGACTCGCAGAATCTATAGACAGCAGGCTGTTCCTCTTGGTAGTGGTCACGGATATTCGATGATTCTCCTCGATAGGCATTCCATTCAACGCCCAAGTAATCTCTAACGGGGTATCCCCGTTAACCACCGTACAAACCGCCGATACAGAGTCACCCCAATTAACCGCCCTGTCGGCCATTTCAAAGGGTGCGATGCGCGGCGGTACTGTCAAGGTCATAGAAAAACTATGTAACATTGAACCAGTATAAAAAAATTACTCGTGAAAAATTATCGATCGTAACAATCTTGGTCTTTCACAAGATTCTTTCTCAAGATGTAATGATTTTCTAGAAAGTTTGGTCGTGTAAAGAAACTCAACAAAGGATATCATTGACATTTTCCACTACGATACGCGATTATTATTAATTACTAATCTTGAAGCTGCGGCGTATTTACTGTACACGCAATTTTTTCTGGGTGCCACAAAGCGAGAGAAGCATAGCCCGATATTACGTGCGTCCAACCAACCACCCAACCGTCATTGATTCAAACTGGTCAAGCGTACCGTTCACCGAAAGAATCGAAGAGTGGGTAGCAGTTCCGGCCGTGTTGCTCGCAGTGCACGAGTACTCGCCCGCGTGTCTTGCGGCTACCGATTCGATCGTCAGTTGGCTGGCCCGTTTGCTACTCCTGCTTATCACTATGTCAGGATTGTAATTGTGCTCGTCGAATGCGCCATTCGCGATGTCGATCACACGCCCGTTAAATGACCAGATTATGTCGATAGGCAGGTCGCCTTTTATCACGGCACATTGAACAGTCGCCATCTCTCCCGCATTGGCAGCTTCATCACCAAATGTGAAAGGTGCCAGTTGCGGTGCAACTGTAACCGCGTATGGCACACTCGTGAATCACACGTAGAAGCTTCCGGAATGACGCCCGAACACTCGCAGTAAGATTACGGGAAATGTTATCGAATCACAAATTCAGAATCAAATTAGATGACTCATAAAATAGCACCTTTGAATCATTAGAGGATAGATCGGGGAAGGATGAGGAATAACAATCTTCCAATAGAGAACATCGAACAATATTGTAATGATATACATTATAAAGCGATACAGGAAAAGGTTCTCAAATAAAATAAAAACAAGAGTAAAGGAAAAGGTTCAAATGAGATAAGAACGAAATAAAGGGAAAAAATATACAAGGACCATCGTTTCGCTGTCACTGCGGGATGGACCGTACGTTGTCGTCTGTGACGATAATCTCGCTGCTAGAAGTACATTGCGCAGGATTATCGTCTCGACAATAACAGTGAGCGCGAAGAGCGGTGATTACTCAATTGATATATTATTGCAGAAATAGAAGAAGTTACAAAAGGATAATAAAACTGTACGTATACAGGACATATGTATATGTAAGGCAGTGCGTTTCTTTTTACATATACGAGCGCGATACCGTTCACCGAAAGTATAGCGATGTGACTGTCGGATCCGGCAGCATTGGTCGCAGTACATTTGTATCTTCCAGCATGTCTCGCCGTCACGCTGTCGATGCTCAAGAAGCTGACTCTCTTATTGGTCACGATACTAACATCCGGCCGACTCGAGTTGATTGGGATGTCGTCGAAGGTCCACATCAATTTTACAGGGAAGTCACCTTTGACGATCGTGCAAGAAACCGACAGCATCTCGCCGGAGTTGAGGGGATCGTCACCGAAGGAAAACTGAAGGATCTGTGGCGCGACTGCGTGAACGACAGCGGCACAGACGAAGGAGTATAATGACAGACAAAGGAGGGTATAATAAGAGACAGAAAGTGTGACAGTGATCGGTGATGGGATAAAAAATATGTACGAGTGAATGTTAAATGAGTCAAAAAATTTCTTGCACTTTTTTATCAATATAATAAAAGAGGAAAAAATTAATAAAATTTTAATATTATGATATTGTTAATAAATTCATAACAGGAAATAATAATTAGTAATTAATAGTGTAAAAAAAGTTGCGCATTTGTGTTCATAAATGTTAAGTATTCAGTGATCAGCTACGATAATCGATCGCTTCAGGAAAATGAGGAAAATGCATGACAGACGGGAAGAGCATTCATTTCTTCTGTGAGAATCGATTGCATATACCGTTTACAGCCAGATGAGCCGTATATGTCGTGGCACCAACGCGATTGGACGCAGTACAGGTATAATCGCCAGCGTGTCGAGCCGCGACCGATTCGATAGTTAAGACACTGTTCTTTCGATTCGTGCTGGCTACTACTACATCAGAGTCGCGACTGTCGATTGGCGTTCCGTTAAAAGTCCAAGTTATTTCAATAGGCTGATCGCCCTTCGTGACAGAGCAGGTGATTGAGACCAGTTCGCCCCAGCTGGCCGGCTCATCCCCGAAAGCGAAAGGTAGTATTTGCGGGGCAACTGGAAAGAGCGACTGGGAGAAACGAGACAAGAAAGAGCAAGTGTCGGTTCGTGATGCGGCGCATTTCCTAATCGCGTAATTCGGAGACATTTTTACATGTATCGATTATGACGTTCGTTTCAGCCAAGTGCGATATGGACTGCTAGATAAGGTTGGTATGGCGGTGGAGTATGTACCTTGTTTTATCACAAGAAATCTTTCGGAAGAGATCTTTCAGGATAGTGGATGCGGGTTCGGGGGGAGGGGGGAGGGGAAACTTGAGGTTCGTGAGTTAGTTATTATGTACTGTGAGTCTATTGTAATGGAAACCGTGCGGAGGGAATTAGGGTCGTACCGTTGACGGTCAAAGTTGTCGATCGACTGACGGAACCAGCTAAATTTGACGCGGAGCAGGCGTACTCTCCGGCATGGCGTGCCGAGACGCCGTCGATGCTGAGGGTGCTCAAGTGCTTGCTGATTTTAGTGATCGTGATACCCGTATCTTTTGAAGTGTCGATCGGTACGCCATCGAACGACCACGATATATCCATGGGCATGTCGCCCTTCAGGATCGAGCAGGGCACGGACACGGAGTCTCCCCAATTGGCGATCTCGGCATTGAAAGCGATTGGTAGAAGCTGCGGTCCGACTAAAGGTGTTCGTCAAACAAATCATTATCGAAAAGGATGCAACGACGTCTGCGAATGATTCTCGGTGATTCTAACAAACACCTATGCGTTAGTCAACTAACTAGTCGAACGGTCTGATTAAAGCTTTCAGAGGATTCAAATAGGCAGAGGATTCAACAACATTGACGCGAAGGAAGCGTGACAAACGAGGGAATAACTATGGTGCTGTTTGCAAGGTCTGTGCAAGGGACAAGATAGAAGGTGATAAAACGCAACTGAAGAATGATAAAGACTGTGTTCTCTAGGAACAAATAATCCCGAACCATTGACGGTGAGGACGGTCGAGTGGGACGCCGTTCCAGCCGCATTTTCGGCGGTACAAACGTACTCCCCCGCATGTCTCGCGGTGATGACTGAGATCATGAGCATGCTAACGCGATCCGCGACCTTCTTCGCGAGTACGCCGGAGGAGCCGCCCATCTCTTCTCCGGGGTAGCTCCAACGTATGTTCAACGGCAGGTCACCGCTTGACACGATACACTGCAGATTCGCAAATTCCCCGGCATTCATCGGTAGCTTCGTGAACGCAAACTCCTGAACGATCGGCGGCACTGAAGATGGAGGAGCGATGTATGGATGTATACGATTATACGCGTCCCGCGTCAATGTGTGCCACGCTCGTGGATATCATAGACATGTTACATTCAATCTCGAATTGCAGGGAATATTTCGAATGTGCGACATTCAAGATGTTCTTTCTCAATTACTAGAACGTTGAAGTTTGATTCTGTCTCAGGTATGTGAATTCAATATGTGCCGCGGGAAAACTTGGTATCTTATCTCATTGTCAGTATGAAACAATGCCTATAACACGCACAAACGCGTGGCATTTGTTGCTACGCGAGACGGTCGCGCAAAGGGAGATCTGAATTGAAAACAAGCGCAACATTTTCTTACTAACGATTCAATCGGCCACCGCCATACCAACTCCCAGACTTTCCACGAATGTGTGTCCTCTCTGTAGATCGATGTACGTTTGCTCTACGTTATTAAGTGGTCGGTAACGTCCACTAAATGCAGTTTCCGAATCCGTGCCCGTGTCCTACAATCGCACCCTTTAAAGTCTACGACACGTTCCCTACACGCGTGAACAACATCCTCAATAATCAATTCGAAACGGTGCGATGTAACAAAGTATATTGACGATTACGTAACAGACACGAAAATCTGCTGTAAAGAGAATAGCTGCAAATAAACGTTTGCTATCCTAATATTATTATATTATAATTAACACATTTATCTCGTTGATCGGTCGGTTTGTTGGCCGATGACTGAAAATATAAATATACCCTTTGTTTTCGAAGTTATTTAGGAGACAGATTATTTTAATCGATAAACAATTAATTGCTAAATAGAACATTAATTGTTCTGTGCATATTAATTATTGCATATATTATTTTTGTGCTAAATGTATTTAAGATTATAATATTAATGATAGAGTAAACTTCTATTTGATTTGCTAAATGAATATTCTGTTACATTTAAATTTTCCACCTTAATATTAAATAAATATTTCATTAAAACTCAATTCTCTCTTAATAAATTCTGTGCCGTGTGGATCACCGGTGACGTACGCTAGACTTTCCATTCAGACCGGAAGATATTTTGAAAAATAGAGATGAAAAAATTGATTTTTTTTTATTTTAGAAAAAATTATCAAATAAAAAACAGTTCGTAATCAAAATGGTACAGAATTCATGAAAAATATATAGAATTTATGTTAAATATAAAAATAATATAGAATTCGCTATTTTATTTCACAAATCTGGAGACATAATAGTGTCTCGGCGCTAAAACAAGCGCAGCGATACTAACTATATAATAACTGCGTAGGTCATCGATGATATGGTTAGATAAATTACGAAAAATTTGATTCGGCACGGAACGTATATTAAATGTCAATAATTCTTTTACTTTTAAGGTTCTATTTTATATGAACCAAAAATTAATATTTATATGAAATTGAAATATTATACGATATTCGAAGAAAAATGCTAGGAAAACAAATGTCAAACTTACCCATGACTTGAACTTCTAGTGTTCCACGTGCGCTGTAACCTTGTGCATTACGTGCCACGCAAGTATAGGTTGCCTGGTCGCTCATTCGTTCAACATTCTCGATGATGAGTGTGCCATTAGGAAAGACCTTTTGCTTTCTGTTGATTGGCAGGACCCTGGTATCTCGTTCCCAAACGATACTTTCGATCGGGTATCCAGCAACAGGACAAGTGACACGCAAAGTTTCTCCAGCAACGATGGCCTTCTTATCCATGTGACGAATAAACGGCAAACCATAAACATTGAGACGCGCAGAATGCTCGGCAGCTCCGACCTAAGAGAATTAAACATCGTACGTTTAGAATATCCGCGGAAAATTTAAATAAAAAATTATACAGCAGATGTTCAATAAAGATCATAATAACGCTCAAAATTAGATTCCTAAGATCATTTTAAAACAAAAATTATAATACCAAGAAGGGCTATAATAATTTTTAAATTATAAGCATTTAAAGTTATCGAATCATACCGCCTAAAATTCGCGCGTTCAGATGTGATACAATGGAAAATCCAATCGTACTTAAGCGCACGAATTTTATATGGTATGATTCGCTAACTTTAAATGCTTATGATTGAAAAACTATTAGAGCGTCGACATTTTAGTATTAAAATTTTCATCTCCAAATGAGCTCAGGAATTAAGCGTTGTTACAGACTTTACCGGACACCCTCTGTATATAAGACAAATATACAGCCTTGATCATAAAATGCAATTTTACATCCAATAAAAAGTAAATTAAAAATAGATTTATTAAAAAATAATATTTATTTTTATAACAATTTTAATATTTTATTAGTTTTCTTCTTATTTATTTATCGTGTCTTTTCCAATACATCATTGAGGATGTTTTATGTATATCTATAATTGCATTATATTATACATATATTTATGTACTTATTAATGATTGATAAACAAAATTTAAATAAAATAGGTCTACATATTTTTATATAAAAAAAATTTGATAAAAAAACAAGAGAACCAACCTTTGACGCAGCGATGCACTTGTAGAGACCACCATCATTGGTATGAATGCTCGAAATATTCAGATGCGACACGACATCACCATTGACTGTGACGTATTGTCCCACTTGCAGTCTCTCGGTGTTCGACAATCGTTTTCCATCAAGTTCCCAGGTAATTTCGGGGGTAGGATTTCCGCTGGCAACGCACTTCAAAAACATACTCGGTCCGGGTTGAAGAGTCTCTTCGGCGAAGGCTTGACGGATCTGCGGGGGCTCGACTGTCGATAATCAAAGAGATAAAAAGATAATTCTGACAATCATAGCGTTATCTTTTGTTTTCGCGGCAATTCAATTTTTCTAATTAACGATTTCACATTCATTTACAAATATTTCACTTCGACAAAATTATTTTTTAAAAAATGTTACTAATTCATGAAAATTTTTTACCTTACCAAATTATTATCAAATTTTCAATTGTATTAATCACACTAAGAAAAATTTCTGGTTGAAAATTAATGAATCAGAAGATTCTGATAATGTTAATTAAAATTCTGATAACTCAACTAGAATTATAATGGATAAAGTCAATCGGAAAGATCTAATTTATCCATTTTCGATCAATGCACCTAGATTCTTTTCCCAGTACACAAACCAGTTTACATACAAAATTGCCATTATTGTAATTGCCAATATAGTAAAAATGTTTATTATTAATTTAGTTACACCATTGGAGAAAAATAGAATAAAATTTTAACTTACATCTGCCACCAAGTTTTAACTCTGCCGTTGCTTGTGCACTTTCCTGATCATTTCTAACGAAACATTGGTACATTCCCTTGTCCTCTTTTTTCACACTCTCGATTCTCAGCACGCGATCTTCCAATCCAAGGGGCTTTCCATCTTTGAGCCAGGAGATGGTCTTGATTGGGTTGCCTTGGACGGTACAGGTGAAGGTCGCTGGTCTTCCAAAGTCGATGGTCTGCGTGCTAGGCTCGATTTCCGCGGTCAGCGGTGCCGTAACAGTCAAAACGGTCTCCACACTCTCGCCGCCGACGGAATTGTTGACGATGCAAAGATATTTACCGGAATCTTCAACTCGAGCTTCACGAATGATCAGAGTGCCGCTGACCTGACGTACGCGCTCATTTAATTGAACCGGCTGACGCCTCGATGTGCCCTCGATGAACTTGTACCATCTGAAACAAGAAAATAAAAACTACCGATTTTCGCGTCAATGCCGGAACGAGAATTGCTCGTTCCGTATCTTTATTCGCTTACATAAATCAAAATTTATATCGCAAAATGGAACAAGAATATATCAGTTAATTTTATAAATTTAATTCGTAAATTTTATTTTTTACGTGAATGACTTATAAAAAAATTCTTTATAGAAGAACATTTTCTTATTATTTTTATTATAATATATAATATTACAATATTTTGATATATTATAATATTATAACCGCGTACAGCTTACACAAAATTCTAACGGGAGAATGAGACACGTACAAGACTGTGAACTTTTCAATAAATCCATAACGCGAATAACACTATTTGTTCCATTCTACGCTATTATGCCTTAAATTCTGTATGGCAGGGCTTTGGGCGTCTCTGGGCACGGCCTTCCGTTTCTCCACCGATCTATCGGTGTCACATCTCTTTCGCGAAATAATTTTGTACAAGAACAAAATCACAATTCAAGAATAAAACAAGATGTTTCTACTGTAGCCTCACGATCGAGAAGCAATGCAGGCGGGGCGCAACAGAAGAATAAAGACAATGACGACGACAATAGATTGATAAAAGCAAAAGAGAATACGTAAAAAAGTATTCACATCTCAATTCTTGCCGCGATAAAATCCCTGAGGAAGAAGGTGAGGGGCGATTGTGTGCAGTGTGAAAGCAACGAATGATTATACTCGATTCTTCGTGATATTCACAACGGCGCTCGTCACTGATTAGCTTAGGCAAGGAGTAAAAAAGAAACGCCAATAATCCAGAATAAAATGATGTAACCAAGCGATCGCAATAGCGGTTTTTTGACGTGGTTTGTTGTAGGCGGGTGCTAGTGCAAAGAATCTTTCATACTTTTCTATGTAAGCAACAATATCTCTCGCATAATACATGTCGCGATACAAAATCATTTAAAAATTCGTCCTCTAGCATTGATTAACCAATTCCAGAACTGTAAATAGAATTTGCGAGATATTGTCGAATGTACAATCACAAATGATGGCGGATAGTGGAAGGCGATCGGGCAGGGAACAAAAATAGTAGTGGTGAATTGGCGGTACGTTTAATGGCGATGGTGCAATTGGACGACGTGAAAAAAATGTTAAGGTTCGATTCTCCTCAGTCACTCACACACGCCCAACATGTGTACATGAACGAGCGATTCACTTCTTTACCTTTTCTTTTGAACGAGTGAGAGAGAGAGAGGATGGGGAATGAATTAATTACGAGCGGACGAACGGAGGCACGAGAAGGTGGCAAGGACTTACCAGCCAAATATTGTGGGACTTATTTGGAGGTGTGCAGGTGTAGGGCAACATTGACCGCCCCATTGATCGGGTGATATCCTCTCGGACCACCCGGATCAGCACCGAGGATACCGGGGGAGCAGAGGGCCCGCATCCTTTTCGAAGTCGCGCTTCCGTCACCTATCTCGAGGGTTGAGGGGAGGATCCAGTTGGCACTGAAAACCAACACGTCCAATTGGCCCCGGATCAGGGATATACATTTCGTCATTAGCACTATTGTTTCTGACTCGTGTAATATCGCGTTTAGTTTACATTCGGAATTAAAAGGCCATCGAAATTGTTAAACCGTCGCATGAAAATCGAGAGCATCAGTTATTTTCAGCACCTTTCCAAGCTCTCCTCTAATCTACGCTCTCTCTCGTTCTTTTCCCCTCTCCTCCTCGTCCTCCTTCTCTACGTCTCTCTGCACTCTTTCTCTTGTATATTCTGCACCGAGTCTTAAAAATACTTTTACATTTCTTCTTTGGATCTCACAATATTATCCTATCTCTGTATTAAAAAATCGTGTCCTTTCTTCTTGCCCCTGTCAAATCTTACGGTACCGCCACCCGACACGGGGTAGAGGGTAAGGATGGAAAATATTAATAGTGAATACAGGATCTGTGCCCCGCGGAGCGTGAGACTACATCCAAATCAGAGAGAAAAAAGATCTGTACGGAGGTGTGTACCTAGTAATCGGGGCAGGAAAGCCTTGTGCCGCACACGCCAGCGCCAGAGACTCGCCCTCTACCCCGCGGTACTTATTAAGGCCGTCACCAGTCGTCTTCGGGGCAGTACGACCAGACGGCTCTGAAATAAATAGATTGCCCAAGGTGTGTGAGAGCTTCGTCTCTTGATAACGATTCGGGTCCATTCTATTTTTTAATTGAACTGCGGAACCGGTACGCGACGTTTGAATTTTAAGCGACTAACAGTTTTATACATACCCTATCGCCTTTGCGTTCGACCTGGCTTAAGTCGACAGAATTTTAGCATGCAATCTACTCACCTGACTATGATGCCAATCTTGCCAGATGGTGAACCAATTTTGAATGCAATGTTGTAGTAAGTTTACATCTAATTATTTACTGCGTGACGCTCATCTAATTAATATAACGTAATGACAGAAAATGTTTTAAAGTTTATATTGCATTTTTTCTGTTATTATATACAGGGTGATCCAGATCAAGAAACCGGCATATTTCTCATGAAAAAGTGAATCGAAAGTGTCAATAGCAAAATGTTGTAATATCAATAGTTTTTATCAATAGACATGAAGTTCGAGCTGTCAGGTGCGATGCAACTAAGCAGCCGGCCAGCGAACGTTTTAACGGGTCCCGCTAAACGACACGGTACCACTTAGTTGCGCCGCACCCGATGGCGCGAACTTCATGTCCTGTGGTTGGACATTTTCAAAGCCCCAACGTTTAAAAACTATTGATATTACATTCTCATGCCATTGACATTTTCAATTCACTTTTTCACACACACATATATATAAACTCAAGCGTCACACAGTAAAAGTTTGATGTAAACTCGTTATTAGCTTGGATATCTATCCACTAAACGCAATGAAGTATAAGAATAACAATGTTATAATTTTCTACTCAATAATGTAACTGTTATGCACATGTGCTATGTTACATTATATATATATAATATTTTATATTATTAAGTGGAAAATTATAATATTGATGTAATATTACTGTCATTTTGTGTTTAACGGATATTCCGAATTTACAAAATTATTAATTCCTTAACTCATTAAATAATGCACTATGCCTATCTATAATTTTCTATAGCTCATCGAGAGCATTTTTCACATGAGCACATTTTATTTCAGTAATCTATAGAACGTGATTCGCTTCATTGACGACGACGATGAAGAACAGAGAAAAAAACAGATTGCTCGCGTGAAAGAAGACTTCCAAAGTCTACCTTGTGAGAGGCACAGGGTATCCCTGAAGCGAATGACTCAACGCAATATCCTGACCTTCAACAGCCAGAACAACTTCGAATCCGAACTTCTTGCCTGATGATCGTGGCGCGATTTTATTTGTCCCCTCTGAAATAGTATCGTAAAGAAAAGACAGGAAGGAAGATATTGCAGCGATTTTTGCCGATGTACCTTGTCAATGGGACAGGAAAACCCTGAGTGGCGCATTCCAAAGCCGCCATACCCGCCTTTGGTACATCTATCAACTTGCCACCTTCGTAACGTTCACCGGCAATGCGTGGCGCAACATTGCCGGTTGGTTCTGTAAGCAGGGAATCGGGGTGCAAGAACACGAACTAGCGTAGAAGATATATCTCATTTCTTCAATTGGACCTTCCCGCAATTGTATCGCAATTAAAAATGAGATATACAAAAATATTTATTTCGAAATTGTCTGATATGCGACTCTTATTCGCATCGCATTTCGTCAATCGACTTGTAAATGCTTGTACCTGAATGCAGGTGCTGGGAAACCCTGGACAGGACAAGGTAGGCCAACCATCTGTCCGATTAGGATGTCCCTTTTTAATCCGTTCACATCCTTGTCTCGTACGTTCGGACGTACACTGCCTCGCGGTTCTGCAATTGCGTAAACATTGGGGAAACTGGGAAACGCGACGCCACCATAATCATCATCATCATCATCATCATCATCATTATCATTGTCGTCATCGTCGTCGTCGTCGTTATCAAATGCATTGTTGACACACGGTACGCAGAATGCGGGATTTGCGGACGGTAAAATGTGAAGATAACGATTGATAAAACTGCATTTTACATTCTCAAGAATTGCATTACAACGTCATGTTTTTTAAAAATTTCTTTAATCAACTTTACTAAAATTTCGTATAATTATCAATAAATTTGGAAAAGTTTAAATAATTTTATATGTACAAATTATGATAATTCAGTGACGATTTTTGTTAAATTGTTCGAACAGGCTCACCTGAATAAAGGCGACGGGCTGGCTTGAGCCTCGCAAAGCAACGTCACCGCATGACCCTCGTTTTTCATTATTTCATCAAATTTAGATCTAGGCGGCAATCGAGGCGGACTACTTCCAACCGGTTCTAAAAACGAAAAGGGCGAAAGGTTCACCTACCACGAAATCAATCGATATCTTCACATATATACTTCAATCTAATATTAGTACATGATCGGCAGGATGCGTTTCTTATTTCGTTTCGGTATCATTTCTTATTTTAGTAAAAACAAATGTCTCTATTTCCTGACTTGTAAAAAATCAATTAATGTTTAAGATTAATGTTTAATCAATGTTAAAGATTAAACATTTTTAGTAGTTTTCTCTTGAAAACCTTTTCTTGAAGAATCTGGAATCAAATACTTCTCTTTTACATGTGTACATAAATTCCATTTAGAACTGTATCTTCACTTAATCTTTTCACTGTATTTTCATTTAATTTCCATCCCGGATAAGGAAATTCTTATCAAGAGCCAATATTTGCATTGCGTTTACGTCGGCGTACCTGAAGACAGGAAGTGGATTCGCTTGAGCCTGACACAGCATTACCATGGCAGTTCGCGACGCGATTGAGAGGACAGTTATTTTAGCTGTTGGTGGCACTTTCGGTGCTGCGCCAGTTACTGGCTCTAGATACGTAAACAATAAAGCAATTAAACGAGTCAAGGTATGCTGATTGATATGAATCGCTTAAGACTTAAGTGAGCAAAGCTATCTTTTGCCGAGCAAAAGAAAAGGGCTATATCGAAGATATATCTTTAATCGCGAATAAAATTGATGAAACGGAGGAAAGTCTTTGCTACAGATTACAATAAATAATTGTAAATACCTATAGGCTGGAAGAGGGTGTCCCTGCGCGGGGCACAACATTGTTATAGCCACTCCGACGACATTCGCGAGAACATCATATTTAGATGTGGAAGCGACTCGAGGCTTAGCACCGTTTACAGGTTCTACAGAACGGTAATGTTACGAGAACTGTATCGAATAAGCAAGAACAAACTTTACGAAAATATGTTTAATTAAATATGTTAATGGACTGACCTAAATGCGGGAGCAGGGAATGCCTGTGCATCACACAACAAACTAATTTCGGCATCATTCGTCACTTCGAAGGAATTGGACTTTGCCGTTTTTGGGAATTTTGGGGCTACACGACCTGCTGGCTCTAATGCACATAAATTTTATTTTTCATAACCTTTTCGTTACCACAGAACGCGCCACCGCCACATAACATTTATTTATCAATTTGTTAAAATTAAACTAAGTAAATGTTACGTAAAATATATTTCAAAAATGCCGATAAAATATATTTATAAATATGTATACATTTAGAACTGACCTAAATGCGGGAGCAGGGAATGCCTGAGCATCGCACAATAAACTGATTTCGGCTTCACTCGCCACTTCAAAGGAATTGATCTTTGCCATTTTCGGAAATTTTGGAGACACTCGACCTGCCGGCTCTAACGCGTAAATAAAGTATTATTTCTCTTAGAATAATATGTCTATGTATAAAACGCGCCACCGCCAAGCAATACTTGTACTTTCTTTTTTAAATAAGAATAAGAAGATACCACATAATACAGATGTGTGTGTGTGTGTGTGTGTGTGTGTACAAAACTAAGTGAATATATTGATGGACTGACCTAAACGCGGGAGCAGGAAATGCCTGTGCATCGCACAACAAACTTATTATGGCACTGTTCGCCACCTCGAATGAGTCAATTTTTGCTGATTTCGGGAATTTTGGAGATACACGACCTGCTGGTTCTAGCATAGAAACAATATTTATTAAAATGATATATCTATGTCTGGACAAAACGAGCCACCGCCGTACAATATTATAAGTAGTCTACTAAAATTCAATTAAGAATAAGAACTGCATAGAATATATGTATATAGACAAAATTAACTAAATATATTGATGACTGACCTAAATCCGGGAGCAGGAAATGCTTGTGCATCGCATAACAAACTTATCACGGCATCATTCGCCACCTCGAATGAATCACTTTTTGCAGATTTCGGAAATTTTGGAGATACACGACCTGCTGGTTCTAACGTGGAAACGAAATTTGTTATTTTTCTTAAAAAGAACATCTGATAAAACGTCAGGATAAAACGCGCCACCGCCGTAATTTCTTATTAAATAATTTACTAAAATTAAATTAAAAATACTCATCCAAAAAAAAAGAAGGCGAAGATATCAAAAATACAAATGAAAATGTAGATATACAATAATAAAGTATAAAAGTAATTTAAAAAATTATTTTGTAATTATCACTTTCAATGATGAAAAGATTTACAAATTTACAAATTTGCATTAACAAGATATAAGAGAAATGTAAATTATTAACCATAGTTCAAAAACAACAAATTGTGCATCATACAATACTTCTACTTTAGCAGCAACCATTTTTATCAGACTCCAAATTACGCGATCTATGTCCAGTTCGTTAACATCATTACCTGTGAGCCGGAGGTGGCGATGCTTGAGCGGCGCAAGTTAGCGCGAGTGACGATTTCGCATTTCTTACATAAGTGCTGCTTTTCGCGTCGCTCTGAAAGGCGGGCGCCTTCGATCCCACGGGCTCTGGAGCGAAGCGAAAAAATCATCTGAATATCCTCCGATAATTTTTCATTCTTTTAATTACCTGAACGACGGTACGGGGAACCCCTGCGCAGGACAGTGTAAACTCGATGCACTTCCCGCGGCGCGTATAAATGAGTTGACGCGATCGTCACTCGAGAATTTCGGCCCCTTCGCTCCCATTGGCTCTGATAATATAAGAATCGCATAGATCGATTTCCGAATTAAAAGTTATATCGTAAAAACTTTGCATTTCTGAGATGTGAAAACAAAATATTTTTCCAAAGAAAATAATAGCGAGCCACGATTATTATTCCACCATTCTGACTACACCACGAACTCCCATTAATGACGTACAAATCAATAAAGGGCACAATCACGCTGTAAGTACCTGAACGCTGGTACTGGGTGACCCTGCGCTTGGCACTGCATCGCAAATCCGACCATCAATTTAGTTCGTAGCCATCGTTTCGCGTCACCCGTGACGGAAGGCGCCTTACTGCCTACCGGTTCTTTACACAAATAAATTACAGACTTTTGTTGTACCAATATATTACACTGACAGCAATGTTTGATATGTATAACCATTTATTTTGTTGATATGTGACTAACTAAAAATTTTTTTATTTTTTCATTAAAAAAATTATGTTATTTTAACCAAATTTTTATTAGAACAACACAAATTTTTAATGAAAAAAAATAAGAAAGTTTTTATTAGCCACATATCAACAAAATAAATGGTTATCCACATACGTACCAAAACATTTTTCTCAGTGCAGAGAAATAAAGAAATTATCCTAAAATTTATCTTCAGCAAAATAGACATCGTTACTGACGCGATTAAGAAAAGAATCATTTCAATCGATATAATTCGCCCATATGATTTACCTGAACGCTGGCACAGGGTAAGCTTGCCCTTGACAGAGAATCACGATGTGTGTATCGGTACGCCTTTCCATCAAACTGCCCTTCTCTCCCAAAACCGAAGGTGCTTTAGTGCCGACTGGTTCTATCGACGTATGTACAATACATTTTAGGCTCAATTATACCAACGTTATTATAATTTTAAGCGAGACTTATTATATTATTAGAACTTTCTCTCTCTTTCTCTCTCGACTTTAAAAAAAGAGAGAAAGAGAGAAAGTTTTAAGCCTCTTATTTAAAGTAAAAGTAACATTGGTGCAATCGAGCTTTAATCTTTCACAAGAGGAATCGCGCGATAATGTCGTTACCTAAAACTGGGCACAGGGTGACCCTGACCAGGGCACGTCAGTACCACGCTGGATCTCGCAATTGTCTCTTTCCACCCGCGTTTCATTTCGCCAACCAGCGCCGGTGCTTTACTTCCAATCGGTTCTAACGATTCAGAAAACGAAACCGGTTTCAAACAAAACCGGAGGTGAAGAAAATGACTCATTCATAAAAAAAAGAAAAATATTTTGAAAGTTTCTCTTTCAAGAAAGAAACATTTCCGCTTTTTTCAAAATTACACGTGTTTTCCTGCGTTAAAGAAGTTTACCTAAAACTGGGCACAGGGTGGCCCTGAGCTGGGCAGAACAATATAACCGTGTAGCCCGCCATTCTTTCCTTCCATCCACCTTTCAAATCGCCTGTCAACGCCGGCGCTTTGCTGCCGACCGGTTCTAGCGAACAAAAGCCACCGAGAAATCAGAAAAAGTGGCACGCAATAGTCTTCATTAACGACGGTAACTTTACCTAAAAGAGGGTACAGGATATCCCTGCGCCGGACATGGTAATACTGCGCTTGAACTCGCTCTCTTCTTCAGCCATCCCCCTCTTATCTCGTTCGTGAGAGCCGGGGCTTTAGTTCCGATCGGCTCTGACGATTACAAAGTTCATGCAATCAACCAATTTGTACCTTATAAAATTAATTGTACACGGAAAGAACGATTTTGCAAAAATATCTAAAAATTTAATTAGCTAATAGATCTAAAAATATATAATTTTGTTAAACCATCAAAATAATTATGTAGGAAATTTAAGCAATGTCGCAAAAAAATTTGACATTCTAACAATCAACTTGAATGTTCTACATAATTATTTTGATAATCCAATAAAATTATTTTTAGATCTGAATTTAGCTAAATTTTTTAATACTTCAGCGCAAAATCGTTTTTTCCATATACTCGTACATATTACTCAAGCTGAAGATTAATCTTTTATTTCGGATTGAAGTAACAAATCGATCGTTGTATTTATCGTCACAAAAACAATAAATCGAAGCGAATCCAAAAAAATCCGAGAGTAGTAAAAAGCAATAAGTAATCGATTTATTTTAAATTGAAATATAAGTCTTACAAGACGTATCGGATCTAATTACATTTTTCCTGTGTCATTACCTAAAGGAGGGAACAGGATATCCCTGCGCCGGGCACGACAACACAGCATTGGAGTGCGATCTTTTCTTCAACCATCCAGCTCTTAACTCGCTGAGAGCCGGGGCTTTAGTTCCAATCGGTTCTGACGATTACAAACGTGCATGATATAAACTAACTCTTTATAAAATTAATCATACATGCTTATTTCCATGTTAATTAACTTCACACATTCGAGCTTGTTAGTTAGTGTTTTATCTGAATTCAAAGAAGATTAATGCTTGAATTATTGTCATAATTCATAAACAATAAATTGAAAACGAGTTGAATTCAAATATAACAAAAATAAACAATTTTTAATTTAAGTTGATAAATTGACGCAGATAAATTTTGTAGAGATTAAATTAAAGTTTAACCTAAATTAACATCGGATCTAATTGCGCTCTTTGCCATTACCTGAAAGAGGGTACAGGATAGCCTTGCGCCGGGCAAAATAATACGACAGCAGATCGTGCTCCGATCTCTAGCAACACGCCCTTCACGATGCCGGTTACCGCTGGCGCTTTGCTTCCGACTGGCTCTAATCATTTATGCAACGATTGCTCAGCAAGTTGATATTTTTACTCGACGCTTGTCGTGTTTTTATGTAACCTTTCTGATGGAACAGGAGACCCCTTCGTTAGCAAGAAACGGAGCGGAAAATCGGAGCAGAAAACGGCGCGGGCGCATAAAGATAAAATGTGAAATGAGAAGCAATAACTTGTTCTTGATTCATATAATTGATTTTCAGTTTTGAAACAAAAACAGATTTGTTATTCTTTTTGTGAAGTATGTATGTATATATAGAAGCTATACCTAAAGGAAGGCACGGGATATCCCTGTGCTGGACACGGTAATACGACATTGGATGCTCTGCTTTTTTCCATCCACACACCTTTCACATCACCCGTAAATGCAGGCGCCTTGCTGCCCACAGGTTCTAATATATAAAGAAACATGCGATGAACAATAACAGAATCGTCTTTTATCTCTAAAGGGACAGGGAACCCTTTTCTGCGACTAATAGAATAATATAAATCAATGAAACTCTAAGCCATATGATTCGCATTATTTTTAGAACAATCGATAGGACAGCAATTGAAAGATTGATACAAACGCAAACGCATTTAGACAACGTATTTGATGGAAAATAAAATGGCTAGAAATTAAAATTGAAAAATAGGTTTTTAAAAAGAAACACACAAATGCGAATTTACCTAAACGAAGGTACTGGATAGCCCTGAGCGGGGCAAAACTGTACAATGTTGGAAGCAGCTTCGCTATTCATCCAACCTCCCTTCAAAGTGCCTGTCAACGTCGGCGCTTTGCTTCCCACTGGCTCTGACAATTTATAGACAGACACGATCATGCTGTGAGAATCACTTATTTTTCAATCTACGGCTTTAGTACTGGTGTGCATATACCTATACGTTGGCACTGGGAACCCCTGCGCGGGACAAAACAGGGTTAGATCGTCTCCTCGAACCCGATGGTACCAAGCTAGCTTCGCATCGTTCGAGAACTTCGGCTTCTTCGTAGCGACCGGTTCTAATTGCATGACAGGCAGGGAAATAAATCTCTTCTCGTATGTGTTGCGCGAATGACCAATTGCTCTATCTACGGTTTAGATACTTGCGTGCATGTACCTATACGTTGGAACTGGGAACCCCTGCGCGGGACAAAACAGGGTCAAATCGTTTCCACGAACGCGATCGTACCAGGCCTTCTTTGCGTCGCTTGAGAATTTCGGCTTCTTCGTAGCGACCGGCTCTAATTAAATACCGAAAAATGAAATTCTCTTTGCATGCAATAATTCTTGATTTACAGTTTCCGTTTACAGCTTTGTAAACAGCTGACGTGCATGTACCTATACGCGGGAACTGGGAACCCCTGCGCGGGACACAGCAGAGTCAGATCGTCTCCTCGAACACGTTCGTATCCAGCGAACTTTGCGTCGCTCGAAAATTTCGGCTTCTTTGTGGCAACTGGTTCTAATTGTACGATAGAGAATAAAATAAGGTTCCTCTCGCATGCCGCGAGACAACATTGTCGCTCTGTTTGAAGCTTTAGAATATTTGCACATGTACCTATACATAGGAACTGGGAACCCCTGCGCAGGACACAACAAAGTCAGATTGTCTCCTCGAACGCGATCGTACCAAGCCAGCTTTGATTCGCTCGAGAACTTCGGTTTCTTCGTGGCGACTGGTTCTAATTACATCGAGAGGTATGAAGCGATCGTCGCATAATTCATCAGATTCTAACATATTTCAAAAGCTGGGAAATCTGAATAACCACACGGAGGATCGTTAAATCCCCATCAATTACGAATACTAATAATTTTACGAAGACATTGGATTACGAAAGCATGTATCGTGTAACTTGAATAAATGATTAATGACAATGCAATTATTAGGTACCTGGTTACAGGAATAGGATGCCCCTGCGCGTTACATAGCATATTTACTTCCAATCCGCGGTTACGAACAAAAGAGAACGTTTTTACGTCTCCTATAAATGCGGGCGCTTTGCTCCCCATCGGCTCTAAATGAGAGAATAAAAGACGTCACGAAAAATGTGTATGCTTTACATGACTGAACCCTCGGACAGAGTTCCCCTCGTCGACTTTTCGTAACGATTGTTCCGTGAAAGATATGAAAGAAAAACATCAACCGATGTAACAAGTAAATGTAAATAACGTAAGATTACCAAAAAAAAAAAGATGTTTTAATACACATATAAATTGCACGTATATATTTTAAATGTATTTAAAATCGTTTCTGAATTCTGATATTCATGAAACGATTTTTACA